GTTAGACCATATCAAAGATATGGTCATACCCAGGCTGTAATAATCTGAAATGCTATTCCATAATATCAGAAAGACTTTAACTAAACAGTAACTGATAACAAATAAGAAATAATTCAAGAGCTTCTTGCCACTCAGAATGTAATGGAATATTAAATACTATTGAATTTCCAGGATGGAAATCATTGAAACAAACATATTTCCAGATGTTTTTCCAGATTTTTTTTGAGGCAAACAAACATATTTCAATATAATACTTCTCCTTTGAAAAAAAAAACAAAAACAAACAACAAACAAAAAAAAAACCATTGTCCTAGGGAAAAAAATATTGTCACTGGAAAAGTTTTATTAGCTCTAATATTTAGAAAAACAATTCAGGAAGCAAACAAATTACACCTTTGTAATATTTATTTTTTTTTCCCTGTAAGTCCTGCATTCAAGTCTGCATTTTAACATATTTTATATTGTACCTCTTCCTTCTGAAGCACACACAACATGAAAAATATTTGATTGTAGAAGATAGTGTCAAGTGACAAGTAATCTGATGCTGTAATTCAGCTGACAGTCTCATATAATCACAGTAGGAGGGAATAAAAAAAAATCTTTAAAAAAATATATATATAGCTTATATTAAAGATAAAAAAGCTTCATAAAATTCTAATGTCCAATAATGTCCAAACAAATGTGCTAGCTTGATCATCTGACTTGATGTCTGCATCAGTGCTATTCTGGACAAATGAAACTTAAACATTAATTTTCTGAGAGAAGCTTATACAATCTTTCCCTTATTTGATTTTTTTTCTTCAGAATTTTATCAACAACAATATCTGATTAATGTGTTCAAGCATCACCTTATTTCCTTTTATCTCTCTCTCCTTTCAGAAATACCAGTATCCAATTTTCACTAGATGATGACAAATTGAAGATTAAAAAAAAAAAAAAAAAGTTTAATAGATCTCCTAATAGATGTTGGTCATAGCTTCTGTCAGGCTATAATGAAAATCTGGGGCAAAGTCCTGTTTGCTGATCTTGGTTATTCCCTGTTCCCTGTTGATACTTCTATTAGCTGCAATGATTGTAAAACTTTAATCAAAGTACTATTAAATATGGAAATAAAGATCACTCTTGCAGTCAGTCACCATTGACACAAAGTAAAGACAGGGGTGTTTTTTTAGGAGTCACTGTCTTTGCATATAGTATAACAGTTGCATTTTACAGGATTATCAGAAAAAGGAAGAAAGAGAAAGAAAAGAGGAGAAGAGAAGGAGAGGAGAGGAGAGAAGTGAAGGGAAGGAAAGGAAAGGGAAAGGACTAAGATGTAACCATTCATTCCACTTGTTTCAGTACCTTGAGTCAGCTGTGAGGCAAGTTAGCCTTTTTGTTAGGCAGTACAGGGTACACTGGAGTGCCAAACTGACCTTCATTTCTGAATCCAGCATGCTGATTTGTGCTGTAAGCTACTGAGATGAATCTTGGTGGCTCATGGACTTCTGATTTTGTTTTCATCAAAGGTGAGATCACAGCTTGTGCTGAATGTTTTGAAAATTTTGGGATATTTCTGGATGCTGTTAGCGAATTTGCTGCATTTCAACTCAGACAACTAGCTGAGGGAATACTATCTGGATACGTGTATGTGTTTACACAAGCTGTAGTACATAACACTGGTGTTGGAAAAGGCAGAAGAGAAAGTGTTTCTCTATATTCCTTGATAGGAGCACCCTAAAATCACAAGTCTTGTCTGGAGACAAACAACTACATCCTCTAAGCAAAACCAAACCATCATTTATGGAAAAAAAAAAAAAAGTCTGGGCTTCACTGCACATCCAGGCTTATACTCAGGGTAACACTTACAGTTCAGCCCTAATTCTCATGTTTATTAGAGGTTTTCAAACCAGTAGTCAGTAGCAAACATACTGCATAGGAAAGGATTGTAGTGACCATGTTCTACTTGTTTTATTGGTTTCATGATTGCAGCATGGGTTTCTTGGCTTGGCTTTTAGACTCTTATACTCCTAATTTGTTGTACAAAGTGCTGAAAGATCAGCATCTTAAGTCACAGTTAGATTTTATATACAATGATAGGATAATTACAAGATCAGCATGATAACTTCACAGATGAAAAGAACAGAGGGGAAAAATATGCTGTGAAGGGGAAAAGCTGTTCACATGAAAAGAATAAAAATCACGATTTAAAATTCATCAAGTTATTTGCAAAATATATTGATTTCTCTTTTCCCACCTTTATGTCCACATGACCAAATTCTCTTTAATGTGTTAAAATTCTAAGGATCACCTAAGGTCTATGAAGGAGTATGTGTGAGTTCAAAGCATACAGTAGCAATTGCTTAGTGATAAAAGAGCAGAGCTCATTAATCCAAGATGGTTTAGGCACTGAGAACACATTTGTCCTTGCGCTGCTGTGGCATAATGAGGATTGCCATACTGTACAAATATATACTTAGCATCTGAACAACTGTTGTTTAAAGTAGAGACATTAAGCTACTTTTAGGTTATTAAATAACATAACTGAGAAACAGAATAGGTGCCCTGTTGAGTTATAATGAACTAGCTTGTGTGGTGAAGCATATACAGAAAATCAAACAGAATTAAGAGTAGTATTGAGCAAGAAGTGCTTCCAGGTCAAGTGGTGATGTAACTAGTATTTCATCTTCCTGAGCATTTAGAGACTTGTAAAGAGTTATTTTCCTTCCAACCACTTCAATAGACTTTTGTAAGACTATGGTCCAAAATTTATTCATAGAAAGGATGACACAGATAGTCATGTAGTCTGGCTGTCTGAGCATCTGTACATGCAAAATGCCATAGCCCTAAGAAATAACAAGGAACTAAAACAACCTTAATCTGTTTCAGACATCATCACTTCATGAGAACAGCACCTGACCATTTTACTTTCAGTGACCTCCAATGAAACTCTTATTGTGATTCTTTTCTGTATGTGCGTCTTGCATGCATTTCAACTACATTTTAAATAAATTTTACATTAGTACAGTGTCAGCTCTTTTAAAATAATAATAAAACAAAGTCATACTGAAGGTACTTCAATAGCAGCTATGAGAGCCAAAAAATAAATTAAAATAAAATGAAATAAAATTCCATTGCTTATTATATCTGTGTTTTATAAGCATGAATGACTTGCTTCCAAATCTTGTAAATTGGAGTGCAGCATTCACAACTCCTACAACTAGACAGGGGTTAGCAAAGTCTGGGACACATCTCAATTTGTACTTCTTAGAGAGACAATTATATTTCTGCTTAACATGCAGAAAATGACAGTAATATGACTTTAAATGAGAAGTGAAATATCCAAACACCACCAGGAAAAAAAAAAAAGCAACTTCCTTCAATTGCCCAGCACAGGATGTTGGGCTAATGACTTAACTGTGAGATCAACTGGTACTTCCAGTTGGTACTTCCAGAAACGTAGTGTTGCCATCAACTACAAAAAAGCTGGGGCTTTCTTTAAGTAAACTCCTTCTGGGGATGATGAATAAACACCTATGAAGAGGGACAGTAGAAGAAACCAGGTCTGGAAGGAATAGCTATCTTTTCTACTCCTCCAAACTGGAGCTGCCATGAGGTGGATGTGTGCCCTTATCACCATGCAGCAGGGAGACAACCTGACAGTGCCACAGCCAGAAATCTGATGGGATAAAGACTGGACTGGCCTCTTACTGGAGAGCTGAGAGTGCAACAAACTGGACAGGTACAAAAACACCTTGTTGACAGTTGATTTCTTTATGCATTTTATTTGTCTTTCTCTTCCTTCTGCATGAAGACTTTTTTTAAACCACAGAATGTTACTCTGCAAAGAAAGCAGATGAAGTGATAGCAGCCGCAGGAGAAGATAAGGTATTATCCTTATCTTCTAGGGACTAATTGCACAGCTTGACTTCCTAATTTGTTAGAATAGCTGAAAATTCCCCACAAAGGAGAACAGAGGATTAAATTTACTGGCAGCTTTTTCTACCTCATTTTTGAATAATAACATGAAGTAGAGACAACCGTGATCTAATTATAGGTAATTTGTTAGTCAAAAAATTAGTTGGACAAATTGTTCTTTCTAGTATATGAGTTAAAGTTAAAATATGCACACCAGGGAAGATTATTTCTGAGGTATTTATGACTGCAGGATTCCTGCAAAGGACTACAAATAAAATGGAAGTACAATCATTTATAAAATCTCGTCGTTTGGAAATGCAGCTATGTGACGTGGTCCTTAAACTGCCTGGTCCAAGATTGAGGTCAGCCCTCCTTCAAGCAGGGTTTTGGATGGGATGACCTTCAGAGGTCTTCCCAGAAGTCTGAAGTTCACCCTGAGCACCATAGCCTGTGCTCATCTTCAGGGTGCTGCATCAGGCCCCAGTTACCTTGCCCTCACACTCCACCTCTCCTGAAACCGCACATGGTTTTAGCTTGCTCCTATTTAGCTCAGGAGCTGCGCAGACCCTGAACAGTCTGAACCATAATGTGACAGGACTCTGTGTGACAAATTAAAGTGGTCAGAATGAGGGCACAACAGGGAGCCTGTCCTCCCTCTCCCTCATTTCCCTCCAACTCAAATGCATCCACACAGACAATACGACAGCACACTTCCATCTGCTAAGGGAACTGCTCTCTTCTCCTGCCACCCTCTCTCTGCATGCAGTTGTGCTTGCATGTGGACTGCATGCTCCAGGAGGCAGATGCTGCTGGATTTTAATCCCCCCGATTTCTCTAATGGATTAAACCTCAAATCTCTAAACCTCTTTCTTATTGCTGCAGTAAATAATGCACATATTGGTTACAGTGATTTCCAGATGAAATAAAAGCAAAAGACAGCAAAAATGAAACATCTGAATAATAATATAGGCTGTAAATGAATCAGACACAAAAGGGTTCTGGATTATTTTCTCCTACCACCTCTGCACCTTGCCCAGTGCCTGCTGAGGCATGGATCACTGGCTGTAGTAACGAAAGATGTAAGCATGTTACACACCACCTACCTGCAACCCTTCAATGGCCAGTTTAAGGATAGATGGCGTAAGTTTAGAGGCTTGCTTGAAGGAGAAGTTGCTCCAATCTATAATTAGAATGAAGCCATTTATCTGAAGCTCCTGATCTTCGATGAGCACTTCCAAGGACAGCAGGATAGCCCGAAGGATATCTATGAAGGAGTTCCTAAAGACAAAGAATTTAAAAAAAAAAGAAAGAAAAGAAAAAAAATCAATGGTTGCAGTTATCTTCAAACCTCAAGATACACAGCTTTGCTGTGGATAGGGTATGTGCAAGGGACGGGGATTTATTCTAGTGGAATTCTTTTTGAAAAGAGAGTTATTTCAGAGGCGTCACTAAAGCGCTCCATCTCCAAAACTCACATTCCTCTGCTTGATGTGATAAGTCCCGTTCACTGGTGGATAAAATAAACCCTGAATTAAATCTTTTTGATCCTTCTGGCATACCTTACAATAGATTTTAGCTAAGCTACTTTGGGAAAATATTTGTCTGTGGCAAAATGAAATGGTTTCAGGCTATCAATTTAAATCCCTGCTCCTTTGGAAATACTCTACCTGTTTTTTTGTTAGTTTTTATTCTTTTCACTATAAAGAGGAAAATCAAAACAAGAAATAAGTCTGTACAATATAAATGGTGTGGTTACAAATAGACTGCCTGGTTTCCTGCTTGAGTGGAGGGAATGATCCAAGGCTTTGCACAACAAAGTTTATCTGTTGCCTTATGTCTGAGAGCCAAATACAACATGAAAAATAACTGCATCCACTCAAAATGGAAACTTTTTATTAATTAGCAGCTACCAAAAGGCTGGCTGCAAGGCTTCTCTCAGCTTTGGGAGAATAATTAGAAACCTCCAAGGTCAAGAAGGAGATAGCAAGTGACAGAAGAAAATATTGAGATATTTTCTTGAAAGTCTCTACTGAGAAGCCTGGGCAGGTCTCTTCTTCCATCGTAGGCATTTTGCAAAGGTGCAAGTTGGCAACTTTAGTAACTTATTCCACATTTATACCTGGGTAAACTGAATAAGGCACTTTTGTCATCTCTCCTTCTCACTGAGATGATTTGCACACAGTTTCTTTCAGAGAGCAACAAGCAAGGAAAGCTTCAAAAAGTGCAGCTTAACCATATCTAAAATGAAATCATAACACACTGTTTCATCTCTGCTTAATTCTCAAATTTTGATGAGGCCTGAAAACTGAAACTGTCTATTACAGGGAAGTCTCACACCATGTTCTCCCACAGAGATTTTCATTTAATACTTTTCTGTATTTTCTTTAATTTAAAACAAACCATCTGAGCCTCCAGGAGAGTTTTTTTTCCCAAATCCTGCCTGAGAAAAAAAGCTGTACATAGTCAAAACAAACTTCTCCACCATCGAGACCTCTACCCCTGAACAGCAACACATCATAAATTTTTATTGGAGGTCAATGCTGATTTTTTTTTTTTATTCTTTCTTTTTTCTATCAACAAGTTTTGAGTGAAAATGTGCATTCCTTTTCTAAAGGCATGTTCTGTTGAAAAAGATGTTTCTGAACTTTGACTTTCTGTATAAATTAGAAGCTTGTCCAAAGTATAGTTGCTGAGGTAACTTGCAATATATAGAGGGCTCAAAGATATTTAACTTTTTTGGTGCCCAAGAACAACCTCAAACCTTTTCAAACAGTATGGAGAAGCCGTGCTAGACAGGCAAACTTAAGAAGTACTTTCCTTGACAACATAAGGTGAAGGAATACCAATTGGAATGACAACTGTCATTTATTTTTAGTCTAAATTTACTTCAAAAAAAATGTGACATATATATAATACTGCCCCGCTGAAGTGGATGATGACTTTCAGGCAGCAGCTTCAAAATACTATGCTTTCTGTGACAAGAAAAGCAATTGCCCCTCTACTAAATTTATGTCACCTTATTCTACCCCTGCATCCCTTTCCAAGGAGGTCTGCCTTCCACAAGGACAGTTCCAAGGAAGCTCTCAGAGGTATGCAGTGGCTACAGAAGTGTCCTCATACACATACCAGCCTTCTCCACTCTCTTGTTGGTGTCAACACAGACTTATGTCATCATTCATGGATTGGCTTTATGGCTATACTGGGGAAGATGGACTAATCCAGCTCAATTTAACCCCACATTTGTAAATATTAAAATAAACCAAATACTTGTTTTTACTGAGGGTGTGAAAATAGGTTCATACTGCAATCGGAAATGATTTCAGCCTTCATTTGTGCAAAGGAGTTTTCTTAATAAATATTCAATCTCATATTCATTACCATTCTACCTCTGATGCTTTTAAAGGCTTCATAAAGATTTCAGCAAAGAAGTATGGAAATGGTGCATAAAATGCGTATTTGTGTAATCAATTTAAACTCTAAATAACAACAGAATATTTGACTGAGCAAAATCTTCCTCATAGACCCTGCACTTAGGAATTTCAGTTCTTGTTTAGATGTCTACATAAATTACTGGGTCATCAAGCAACTATTTACCTGTACTTCCCTGTACTTTCAGTGGAGATACTGGAAGATACAGCACCCAGTTTCCTTAGTAATCAGTCTGTCTCCTGCCTAGATTCCTGTCTGCCTCCCTATATTTGCAGTTTTAAGACATGGTGCATGAAATAGACTCAAAGTCAACACAAAGACTTTTTTTTTTTTTTTTTTTTTTTTTTTTTCAGATGAATACAAAGACAGATGGAAACAGCACAGAAGTCCTCCAGGTGGGCTGCTTGCAGGCCCACTGTTTTGTGAATGCAGGGACTGGATAGAAATCAGAGTGCCACTTGAGGCCCTCTGCTCCCTAATCTCAAGGCTTTGAGACAAGCCATTCAGCTGTGTGACTGATTTGCATCCAAATAATTTTCTGTGCATGAACACAGAACCACTTTCTATTAGTCCATCTCTTTTGTTGCTTTGCTTAATGTTCCCTTCTCCAACTTCTCTCCCCCACACCAGTTTAACTATCTCACAAAAAAAAAAAAAATTACTATTGCACGAAAGGAAATCAAAAGGAAATGTGTAAGATGCTGTAAAGATTCAGCATGAAGCCTGCTGAAGTGAGCCACTAATGAGTTACAAAAGAGTTGCACATGCCCCTGAATGACAAAAGGGAGAAAAGAGGGAAATGGCATATCTGCCTTGGCTGAATGGTAAGGTACCACAAAAGAGGCTCTTCAAATATCCTTTGGAATATGGGAAGTTAGCCCAACAGAAGCTCGGGGTAAAGCCCAATAATGTAAAACAAAAAGGAAAATGGTTTAGCTGAGGGATTTGGTGGAGAGATTAGCCAAAGGCATAACATGAAAATAAATAAGAAGAAATTACTTAATTATAAGAGGCGTAAGCAGGCTGTGAGAGAATCAAAAGGCTCAGTGGAGTACCAGGGTGCAATGGGAACAATTAAAGGGGATAAAGACATTGCAGTGAAATTAAATGATCTATTTGCATGTGTCTGCCACCAGCAATTTTGAAGAGATACCTGGAAAATAAAGGTGAGGGACTGCTGGAATATAAGTCAAAAAAGATACACTGCAAGAAATTTCTGAGTAGACAGCATTAGTAAAGGTTTTTGAACTAAACAGTTCAGCACGGGCTCTGTCTTAAGTATGCTAGTTAAGATAATTGGATTATTCAGATGGTTATAAGTATAAACGTACAGAAGTACTGGCAGCTGAAGCCACTAAGATTGCCTGGTAATAAGCAAAACAAACTGCCACTAAAAATCCTCTGTTTCCCACAAGACAGTAAGCTAACAATGTTTGGACCAGTGTCATTATTTTGTCAGTTGCAGACAACTTGGCTTGATGTCCCTAAGTGAGTATGCAGTACAAGCCTCTCCCCTGTAATGCTTAACTCAAAATACTTAAAAGCTGGCTTAGTTAAATGCAAATGTAGATTAAAGGGATTTCTTTTCTTGTTAAAGACTGGCTTGGGATACAAAATCAATGAATTTATCACCTTTTAAATGTAACGAAGAAGTGAACTTGTTACACCATCATAGTTAACATAAGCTAGCAGAAGACAAAGTAGTACAAAACTATTTTTAAGAGTCTGCTGAACACCTAAGAGGAGAAGATGGTATAGTAGAGCTCACAGATATGCTATGGATGAGAATAATAGAATAGCATTTAGCATGCTGCAAAAATGGCATAGATACAAATCAGGTAAGAGACCGCATCTTGCTTTGTTCCCTCCCCACACAATAAATCACCAACAGAGAGCAGAAATGTATGCCTAGCTTCTAGTCACAGGAGAAACTACCACTATCCTGCTAGGAGTAAACCTATTGGGAGTAAAATGAGAAAGATGAATTGGAAAAAAGAAGGACCACAAAAACATGTTCAGGTTACCCAAATTATCTGAGCTAAGCAAAGCTGAAGATGCTGGAAGGAATGTTTAAAAGGGCAAACATGAACAACACTATAGATCAATGCTGATGAAGGAGGGAGAACCTAAAAAGGAATATTTTGAATTGCTCCCACACGTGGCCAAGATGTAGTATTCACAAAAAAGAACTTTGAAACCAGTCAATATTGTTTTTTGAAGTGAGTTTATGCATTGGTTCATACAAAGGTATTTATTTGAGCAGATTAAGTTCTTTTTTTTTTTTGCTCATGAAGTGTTGATAAGAAAGCTTCAGCTCCTACAATGTGTCCACAGAAAATATGTTTTTTTGTTTGTTTGTTTTTCCACTTAAATATTTAAGAATTTTAAAACTTAATTCAGAAAATCACTGGAAATTGCTGACATGCAAACAAGAACCTGGGGAATCATGTCATGGTTCAAACGGGAGTTCATGAATAGATGCCCTATCTCCCTGGCAGTGGAGGGAGATGGCAGTCAGTCCAACCACTGCAGGACCTGATCTTTACATGTGATGGCTTTTTGGTGAAGAAATGCCATGTGTATGTACTGTACAGGACTTGGGACAGCCCCTGGCTGGAGAATATCTAGGGGGAATAACTGCAAAATGAAGAATCATGAATAAATGTAATGACTCACTTAACTAATCCTACACCAGAGAAGATGAACAGCTGAACAGAGGAGCTCACAGCTGACTCATGTGCTGAAAAGTGCTTGTTTGTCTCATCTGATATGAATAGTGTGTGTGTGCACAGAAATTAGCAGGACTTGTCTAAAATTCACAAAGCAAATGGGTTACATTCACAGCAAAT